AACAGGATCCCATGACGATGGTAGTACCCAGCCATCTTCCCTATTGAAATTAGGATGTTTTTTAATTTCTATGGCTTCTCGAATCATTCTAGGGCGATATCGGTTTTCTTTCGCCAGGATTTGAGGCCTATCGAAGCGAATATAATGGCTTGGGCGGTCCTGACTGTGTTTGCAGACAGCAGATGTTGTATTGCGACGGTGCTTCACATCAGCTATGTGTTCTTTGACCCGGGTTCTAATGGATCTCTTTGTTTGTCCGATGTAAGAGAGCCCACAATCACAATCAAGCTTGTAAACTCCTGCATCTTGTAGAGGGATGTGGCACTTGACAGGTGGTAGAAACTGACTAATTTTCTTTGGCGGCTTGAAGTAAGTTTTAATTGAAGCTCGCTTTAGAATGTAGCCAATCTTGTCAGTGACGCCTCTCATGTAAGGTAGGACTGCAGGGACGCGCTCGACTGTGGCTGGTTTCACTCGGTCCCTGTGACGTAGGCGCGGCACTTGCAGCTTGTTGTCTCGCAGAACTTGCTTGACATGTTGCAGTTCTCCGGCCAGGTGTTGCTCGTCACAGATCCCGCGTGCCCTCCAGCGTGCGAAACCAGCCACAGTCGAGCGCGTCCCTGCAGTCCTACCTTACATGAGAGGCGTCACTGACAAGATTGGCTACATTCTAAAGCGAGCTTCAATTAAAACTTACTTCAAGCCGCCAAAGAAAATTAGTCAGTTTCTACCACCTGTCAAGTGCCACATCCCTCTACAAGATGCAGGAGTTTACAAGCTTGATTGTGATTGTGGGCTCTCTTACATCGGACAAACAAAGAGATCCATTAGAACCCGGGTCAAAGAACACATAGCTGATGTGAAGCACCGTCGCAATACAACATCTGCTGTCTGCAAACACAGTCAGGACCGCCCAAGCCATTATATTCGCTTCGATAGGCCTCAAATCCTGGCGAAAGAAAACCGATATCGCCCTAGAATGATTCGAGAAGCCATAGAAATTAAAAAACATCCTAATTTCAATAGGGAAGATGGCTGGGTACTACCATCGTCATGGGATCCTGTTATTAATATAATAAAATCTAATAATAAATCTAAACATAACAGACAGGTAGATGTAGTAAGTTCTTACTGTGTAGATCAAAATGATAGCATTTCTGATTGATAATATTTTTTTTTTTTTTCACTTTTTCATTTGTAAATGTATGTAGTAATGTGTTGCTTAATAATTTGTTTTTAAATAATAGCAAATTTAAATTAAAATTATTATTTTTTAATTAATCTTAACTTTTTCAAATTACACATAGATCAATTGTGGCTTAAATAGTTAATACTATATTTTATATTTTTCTTATGGTTATAAATATAATAATGGCAACACTAAATATAGATTGCTAATTAATATTTTAAAATTGTAATAATTATAAAAATAATAGCAAAAATTAAATAAATAATTTTCCATATTCAATTATAATTAAAATTATAAAAATATTTAAAGTTAAAATATTGTAATGTAATTGGTGCAATTTTCATTTTGTTAATTGTGGGTAGGCTGTCTGTAACAACTATATCTTTAAGACATGTAACACCTCAGTCTCTCCCGTGACCATGGATGCTGTAAAGCATTCGAAACGTCGGGAAACAAAAATACAAATAAATCCGCGACAAAATCCGAAAAGATAGTTTTATTTAAAAAACCAAATTCTTAGGTTTTACATATTCGTTTTTGTGTTTTTTTCTCAGAAATGACACATTTTCCCGCGGAAAGACAACAGACAAAAATTCTAAAAACTATAGATTCGGCCTTTGTATATAATGTCTATTTCAATAAGATTTTCCAAAAAAATTCTAATGTACAGATTCAGATCTAAGAAAGTAATACTTTATTTTTATTTATAAATTGTTTGAAATTCTTTATATTACCAATGTCAAAAAATTTGTGTATATATATAAACTTCTAAATCCGTATTCATATTATAAATGTGAAAGGTTGTGAGTATGGATGTTTGTTACTCTTTCACGCCAGAACAGCTGAATGGATCTGGATGAAATTTGGCACAGAGATGGATTATAGTCTGGAATAACACATAGGCTACTTTTTGTCCCGGAAAAATGTACTTTTCCCATGGGATAAGTTTGTTCATGTTTTTCTAGAGGCGAACCCGAGCGAAGCGAGGGTGAGCCGCTAGTGTAATTTATATATTAATGGCATAAAATGGCATAATTATTGCGAATTGGAGGTTTGGAGAGATAGTGAATATTTTATTAAAGCATGTGTTAGGCTATAAGAGGTTAACTCTATATAACAAAAGCGGGAAATAAATGTCATTTGCTCATGTATGAACTGCAATATAGTGTATACCAAGTACCAACTAGCACTTTTATATAATTGGTAAAATACTACAAATGAAGAAGTTAAGTATAACCTACTAAAAATTGTAATGAATATGCTAAGAAAATATGCCGGAACTAAACTGGTTTATAGATTAATTATTCTGAATGAATTGTTATGCCTTTCCTTCACTCAGTCGTTCTTAGCGACTGTTTTCAATATATCTACATATTTACTTTAAACATACATAATAGAATACGTATTTATCTCACGGGTATATAATATATCACAGGCACATATTTCATGTAATGGTGATATTTCGGTATATCTCTTTCATATCTTCGTCTTCTCCATTTCCCAATCACTTGGGGTCGGCACAGTACATCTTCTGTACTGCTGATAGGATTTTGCAAAAGTTTTACGACCGGCCGCCTGCCTGACGTCAACCCTCTTTGGGTATATCTCTTTCATATGTTATCTCTATGTACTATCTCTCTCGTTCTTTATAATATCTCTATGTAAAAATCACGTCAATACCGACGTGAAGCGAAGAAAGAATAGAGCAATAAACGCACTTTCGCATCTACACTACTATTATAAAGATCAAAGATTTGTATTTTTGTATGTTTGTATAGAATAAGCTCAAAAAATACTGGATTGATTTAGATGAAATTTGGTAAGAAAATAGTTTGAAAAGATGGGAAGGATATAGAATATTTTTTATTCCGGAAATCATCCCTTAAGGGGGTGAAAATGGGGATGAAAATTTGTATGGGGAATGAACCTAGGGAAGAACCCGAGCGAAGCGAGGGTAAGTCGCTAGTGTGTAATATGGACCGATTACAAAGTCACTTTAAAAGTAATAATTATAGAATTTCCACCATTAGGGTGGAATTTAATGTTAAAGGGGTGTAACCCTTTATATATTAAAAAAGGATTATGAAAATAAGTCAATAATAATTACCAATAAAAACTTTATAACAAAAAATACTAGACTTCCAGGCACTAAAATGTAAAAAATAACAAAACGGAGGTTTTCATTTAGAATAGATACCTAATCAGATATTTTGGAAGTCGGTGCAGCCGATGCAAAGCAAATCTAATATATTTCGATACGTAAAATACATATTTACCTATAAGATATTCATATCTTAAAATATTGTTGACTGAAAAAAAATCCAAATCGGTTGAGGCGCCTTTAGTCATCTGTGAACATACATAAAAAAAAGATTCTCCTCCTTTTTGGAATCGGAAGTCGGTTAAAGATATGTATAGATAAGATGAGATATCTAATAGAACAGATATTATAAATATTAAACACCATACCACCTCTTTTTGAAGTCGGTAAATTAACAAGGATTACATTGTTATGGATAGGGATAAAAAATAGTATCGTAGCGTTTATACTAAGTCATGGCCTTATACATACCGATATCATTTTATTTGTCAATTCTGTGTTAAGATAAGATAGTCAGCATCATGTGGTCATACACAAGTTTAAATCAGGTGATCTATTTTCTCTCAATACAAGCATTGACGACACGTTTGGCTCAGTCTGCAGTGATCATACTTGCTGTGCCAGCGGTCGCGGGTTCGAGTCCCGCTGGGGGTTTTAATATATATTTATAGTTATATATGTGTAGTGTGTCAACTATCTGGTATCTATAACACTGGCCTCGTAGCTTACAATGGAACTAGATGGTGATGTGTGTGTATAAATGTCCCAATATATTTATTTATTTTAGTTTATAATAATCATTGCTTATGCTATTTGTAACTTGTAAGTATTAACCGTGAGTAAATATAATGCGACATTTTTTGTAATAAATGTATTTAGTAACAATGAAAATGGGTTTTACACATTGTTATTTATTATATTAAATGGCCTTCTTTGGATAATGGCTAGTATGACTTGAACTTCCTATTAGGCCGGAAGCATGGTATTCTATTATAGGGTGAATTTGATCGATTAGTCTAATTGTACCAGTTATAACTATACCTAGCACTTATAGCCTTAGATTCGGTAGAACACAGAAAAAATATATATTACATCTCTACCAATATATCACAATAAGTTATAAAAAACATGATAATTACTTAATAAACATATTAGTTTAAAATATATTTTTTATGCAGATGTCAACCACAGAGCATAGCAAGCACAGCCAAAACATCTGTAAATTTTGCAAAATAATTCAAAATGTTGTTGATAAAATAATTGTCTATACTATGATAAGACTACCTAAAAACTGTTGAAAACAAGAAATCTAAATATTCCTAAGTTTTAATTTATTTATGCAATATCGTTTAATCCCCGTCAAAATTGAATCCTAACAACCTGGCAATGTTTTTAACCTGATTACGAGTGTGTAATAGATAAAATTTTCGTATATATACAAAATTCGACGTTGTTTATTTTGACAAATGACAGATAATATAATGAGAATATAATTTACAGGGCGTCACCGAGGCACGCGGGGCTGACGGCGGATAGGACGGCGTATCACTACATCGCCCGGCCGCGCTCGCGTCGCACGACTCTCACGCCACATCCTCTAAACTAAGTGACCGATATACTAATAAACATAAACAGTGCAGTGTATACGTGAACGTTATAAACTTAAGTGAAATCAATAGTGATTTCGTAAAGTGCTCGGTAACCGAGTGAATGCGTGTGTGTTTCGATAACCTTTGCTTTGGATCGTCACAGCGAACAGCTGGTGACGATGAGGCGAGAGCCGTAGTGAATACAGGAGGAGGAGCGCTTACGGTGGCGCCTACAGTTAACGGCGATCGACGTGCCTTAGACGAAACGTATCGAGAAAATTTAAATGGTATAATGGGGACTCCAAGCGCGATGAATTCTGATTCGGAGAATTGTGTTGCTAACGCAGCTGTGAACAGCGATATGCAACCACTCGTAGAGAGAATTAGAGAGTTGGAGGCGTTGCTGAAGCAACGTGATCAGGAGATGTTAGAGTTACGCTCGCAGCTGGATAAGTTGCAAAGCGTATTTCCCTACCAACAGTACGCAAGGTCCAGAGGCCCTCGGAAACAGAGAGCCCAAGGTATCTCAGCTGAACCACAAAATAGCTCGTCTTTACAGGATCTGGCTCACCAGACATTCCCAGTCTACGACAAGAGCGAAGCGTAAGTACTTTGATATATTCTCTTCTTATCTCTTATCTAATTTCTATTATTTATTTTAAAAAAAATACTTTATGGAGTTAAAATTTAAACTAATAGGTTGTCTGATTTTGAGTTTTAACGTATTTCTTTTTACATTACCTTCACGTCGTTATAGAATGTTATAGTTTCTATAAAACACACATGGCGATATTTAATTGGCAATACGTCCAATGTCAAATAATAAATGTTTATCATATCGAGATGCAATTAAACTATAGGAAATCGAGGGGAAATGACACAACATAATTGCCCTAATAGGTCTTTAAGTTACTTATAGTATATACTATACTTGCTCGGTACCATGTAGTTACTTTTTTACATGAGCAAAATCATCAAAAATTTTACAGCAACACTTACTTAGGAAAATTTAAATCCACAATCGAGTTTTTATTTTATTATAAACGTATATTATTTATAGTTACGTAATTTATAAATTTGATTCTATCATTTCTATAAATATAAAAAGCCACAACCGTATGATGATAGCAATATAATGATATATTAACATTTTAATTCTATCACTTTATTACCTATAAATTTAATGACTTAAAAACAATGACAAATAAATTACTTAATTGTTTACTTATATTATTTAATAGCACCTAAAAGCAGCTTTAATTTCATAATATAGACCCATAAATGAAATTATAGATTTGTTTTTGATTTAAATTTAAAAATTTCCAATGCTAAGCTATTTATAGCACAAATATGTATGTATAATCTTTTAAAGAATTTATTATTATTGCCATATCAAGAATCTATATCTATGTTATTTATTTGAATGACTGCTAGTATACTGTATTAGTGTATTTACAGTAATGATAATCGTGACGATTTGACACCAAATTTGTTTGCATAATTTCCCCTGAAGTCGTCCTAAATTATAGTGTAAATAGACAAAAATATTTTTTAAATAAATATATTATGAAGTTAAGCAAATATATCGAGGACATGGTCTCAATTTATACGTTCATGGTTGTTTTTGTTAGGCGACCATCGATAAACATGGGAATTCATTTAAATAAACTAATAGGTTTATTGCTTGCAACCTACTCTACATTTGATTTGCTACTCTTTAAAAGTCATAGATAGTCTTCTTACGTAGATAACTCATAAACTACTGCGAGATTCAATAAGATTTTACTATTTTGATAAAATATACGCAGTATAAGTTTAACTACCTTTATCCGTATTAATATTAATATTATAAATGTGAAAATTCTTGAGTATGTATGGATGTTTGTTACTCTTTCACGCCAGAACGGCTGAACGGATTTGGATGAAATTTGGCACAGCGATAGATTATAGTCTGGAATAACACATAGGCTATTTTTTATTCCGGAAAAATGCACCGTGAGATAGGCTTGTTATTGCTTTCCTAGATGCGAACCCGAACGAAGTGAGGGTGAGCAACTAGTTTTATATAAAACTAGTGACAGCCCGTGGCTACGTCTGCGTAGTTTGTTTATGAATAATTGCACAGCTTCTAAAGGTCGTACCGTGATATTGGATAGTCTATACTAATATTTAATAAATCCATACCTAATTATAAATATTACACTATCTCTATCTGTTATTATTTCACGCTTACACCGCTGAATAGATTCACAAGAACATAATATATTGAAAAATTCTAAACCCCACGCGAATGAAGTGAAGTGTTCAAACAAAAAAAAACTAACTCTTCAGCTCTACTTTAGTTCAGTTCTTTAGGCTTAGGTACTAACGTTTTCCGGCGGCTCCGCCAAAGTCAGTTATTTAACTATAACTATATATTTATACATTATAGCCTATGTGTTACTCTAATGTGTAAGCTATATTATTGTAAAGTTTTATCAAATTCCGTTCAGTAGTTTTCGCATCAAAGTGTAACACACATACATACATCCATACAAACTTTCACTCTTATGATGCATATTAGCTTTTGCTTTTAACGGAGCCTTAGACACGATATCATAGCGTGAATCGTTAATTTATCGTTCTACGTAATATACATACTAATATACATTTTAATATTAATTCATATCAATATCTCAATTGAAGCATAAACAATGCACGCATTCATGATAAAATAAATCGGTCAAGTTCATATAACACTAAATGACCATATTTACTAGCTGCAAAATAATTATACAGCTGTTATATAAAATAATATTATCACTGTCATAATAATGACTAAAATGATAAAATAGAACGAAGTAAAACAGTCGTATATATATATATATATATATATATATGCATATATTACATATGTACCCCGTCATATTCCTTACGTACAAAAACAGCAAAAATAGTAGAAAAAATATATAAAATCGCTTTTAATTATATTCGTAGTAATTTTTTATGATATAGTAAAAAATACCTAACTTTAAAATAAACCATTAAATTAACATTTGAACAAAAACGTTAGGTAGCATGATATTCTACAATGCTAGAAGATCAATTAAAACAGTTGAGAGGGTTTTTGGCAATTTATATGTAAGTTTAAGAATAGGTTTCTTCAAAATATAAAATTTGTTTCTTGTTAATGTTCTACGTTCTGTTTAAAATTATATGAGACTAGTATTGCCCGCGGCTCCGCCCGCGTTCAGATGACCAAAAACCAAATTCTTAGGTTTTACATATCAGTGTACTCAAACATTGCATTTTTTGTATTTTTTCTCAGAAATAAGATATTTTCTCGCGGTAAAAAGTATCTTATATGTTCACCCGGATAGCCAGCAATCATCATACCAAATTTGATTAAAATCTGTCCAGTGGTTTTCTCGTGATGCGGTAACAGACTGACAGACAGACAGACAAACAGACACAGACAGACAGACAGACAGACAGACAGACAAAAATCAATCATAAACTGTAGTCAATAACTATGGTAGTTTTATTTCGTATTAAAATTTTAAGAAAATGACAACCATAAGAATATTAAGATAATAAATGTTAATAACACTACACTAACAGAAACTAAGCACTGACAGAAGAGAAATAACTGACTCTTATATATATAATACTCTTACATATGTACATATACTAGTACATATTTGTAATCATTCTCGAAAACTGCTGTAACGATTCTGATGAAACTTGCAGTAGGGGCTTACGGGGAAAAAAACGAACTAGCTAGATATCTGGAAACATCCGTTTTCTCCGTATTTTCACGTAAAAAGATTTGGCCGCGCATTAAGTATGGTTCGTAATTTCGCCGCCACCGCCGTCTGTATAGTCTAATTCACAAGTTACAAGTTTCTGTTTTTATGTATAGTAAAACCTATAAAAGCATTTTTCACAGCTGTCAATAGATATCTTTAGGAACACGGTGTGTATAAAATTTCGTGTATCTCATAAACTGCTCTAACGGCTTGGGTCAAATTTTGTATTTAGATAAGGTTTTACTTTTTAAGTTTGTAGTTTTTAGTAGTTATACCGAAAAACTTGAAGCTGAGCAAAGCTCGTTCGCGCAGGTAGTATTAACACTATCTGAGCTTTTAAATAACATATACATATTATATAGTCTACAATCTAACACTACTCATTCGGAGGGGTCCATGAAATAAGCACTGACAGAGAGAAATAACTGACATTTATATTGCTATCTGTGCTTATTATATAACATATAACATATTATATGTAATAATCAATTTGACAAATGACATACTATGACCACGTGATAATAAATGGTCATAAATATTTAATTTTGTAAACCGCATTAATAGAAGAAATGAGATATTCGTTTTTTGTTAACAAATTTAGACTTTCAATAAACATAACGGAATATAAACCTCAAAATTTACTTAAAGTAAGAACAAAAAAATTACATTTTATATTGCCTCCTATACGGAATCCTCTCACGCGAGTACCTCTCGCACTTGCCAATTTTTTTGCTACATTACTACTTGGATACTTGTTTCTACATAAAATAATTCACAGAATGCAAAAAAACAACAGTACATAAAATTTTTATAGTATTTATATTTTACTAAAGCTTCATAATTGACTCGTAAAAACTACAGCAACGCTTTTAACGATCACCTTTAAGGATACCGACTGGTAAATTGTGTGCGACGATTTTATTGTTATATATAATTTATTTTTATATGGAATAAACATTAAAATAAAATAAATTAAGCATTAAAATAATTATATTGAAACTAAAACCTTCAAAATAACTTTAACTGTATCTATATACCTATTTATTGAGTGAATTTTTTTACTTTCTATGGGCACAGATCATATAATATTATACTAGTATTAGAGGAAGTTTGTTAGGGGTGAATTTTTTACAAGAATATCTATACTAATATCATAAAGAGGCAGAGTTTGTTTGTTTGACTGTTTAAACGCGCTTATCTCAGGAATGAGTAATCCAATTTGGAAATTTTTTTTTGCATTAGATAGCCCGTTTATTGAGGAAAGCTATGGGCTACATAACATCATGCTACTACCTAAGGGAGCGGAACAGTAATCATAAACCTCAACAAATCGGGCACACTTTATTGTAAAACTGTTGTTTATAATCAAACAAAAACGCGGGTGAAACCGTGGGGCACAGCCAGTTCCCAAATATCAAACTGGATTCATTAAAGAAAAATCACTCAAATCCCAATAAAGTAAGTCTTCCTTTTTTAAGTCGATTATTAATTAAATAATGACATACGTGATGATTAAATAAAAAAGTGACTTTTTCATTCATACTATTCTTTTAGTTATTTTTACAGAAGATAAACATAAATAATGTGTGAAAATTGTCTATTATTTAATATAAAACTTAGAGTTGTATTGTACTTCCTTATTACATACTAACGACTCACCCTTGCTTCACTCTGGCTCGTCCCTAGGTTGACTTCCCATACAAACTTTCATCCCCATTTCCAGCCCCTTGAGGGATGATTTCCTATGTCCTTTCCAGAGTCTCAAACTATATTCTTACCAAATTTCATCTAAATCGGTCCTGCAGTTTTTGAGTTT